CTATGAACCCAGAGGTCATGGTTTGATTCTGGTCAGGGCACATACCCAAGTTACAGGCTCAGTCCCCAATGGGGGTGTGCAAGAGGCAGCCAATCCATGATGCTCTCTCATCGATGTTTCTGTCTCTCTCTTCCTCTCCCTTCCTCTCTGAAATCAATTAAAAAAAAAAAGCTGTGGTACATTTACACCATGGAATACTATGCAGCAGTAAAAAGGAAGGATCTCTTACCCTTTGAGACAGCACGGAGGGGCCTAGAGAGTGTTATGCTAAGTGAAATAAGCAGTCAGAAAAAAGTCAAGTATCAATAATCTCACTCATATGTGGAATCTAACGAACAAAATAAACTGTTGAACAAAATTGAGACATAGAAGCATGGAACAGACTATGGAATCTCAGAGGGGAGGTGGGGGAGGGATCAACCAAAGAACTTGTATGCATATATGCATAACCCATGGACATGGACTATAGGGTGTTGAAGGCCTGAGGCGGGGCTGGGGCAGGCTATCAGGCAGCGGTTCTCAACCTGTGGGTCGAGACCCCTTTGGCGGTCGAACGACCCTTTCACAGGGGTCGCCTAAGACCATTCTGCATATCAGATATTTACATTACGATTCATAACAATAGCAACATTACAGTTATGAAGTAGCAACAAAAATAATTTTATGGTTGGGTCACAACATGAGGAACTGTATTTAAAAGGCCAGAAGGTTGAGAACCACTGCAGTAAGGGATCAATGGTGGGGGAAAAGAGGACAAAAAAAAGAGGTGGTACAAGGAACGGAGTTGCCCAAGTTTTATGGCGACTACTGCAATACCTACCTCACCCATGACTCTCCCATCTGTGAGAAAGACATACTGCAGTGGTAGGAAACACAAGGAGAATGTGAAAGACCGCTATCAGCAATGAATGCAAGAGCATGACAGACAAAACTGCCGCATTCCAGCAAGGAAGGACACCTCCTACTCCATTCTCTGCTCCTCCTCCTGCAGGGGCAAGGATCCCACCTCCCCCAAGTCTTCCAGGTCCTCGCCCTGGTATAATGCCAGCACCCCATATGGGGCCCTCCCATGATGCCAATGATGGGCCCTCCACCTCCTGGGATGATGCCAGTGGGACCTGCTCCTGGAATGAGGCCACCTATGGGAGGGCACATGCCAATGATGCCTGGGCCCCAAATGATGAGACCTCCCGCCCGTCCCATGATGGTGCCCGCGCATCCAGGGATGCCTCTACCAGACAGATAAGGAGAGAGGGGGCCTCTTTCTATCAGTTACTTGTTCTGTTTCACCAAGAGATCGCGGTGCTGTAACTCTGGGTGTTTTCTAACAGCAAGACCAGGAAGATTCACGCCCTCTTCCTATCAAAAGAATAGCTTTGGAGGGGAGTAGTGGGACAATAAAACGCAATTTTCATTTGTGTTGTGACATGTGAAGATAAAATTGGAATATTACTCAGCCATAAAAAGAATGAAATCTTACCATTTTCAACAACATGGATGGACCTCTAGGGCAGTGATGGCGAACCTATGACACGCGTGTCAGAGGTGACACGCGAACTCATTTTTTTTGGTTGATTTTTCTTTGTTAAATGGCATTTAAATATATAAAATAAATACCAAAAATATAAATCTTTGTTTTACTATGGTTGCAAATATCAAAAAATTTCTATATGTGACACGGCACCAGAGTTAAGTTAGGGTTTTTCAAAATGCTGACATGCCGAGCTCAAAAGGTTCGCCATCACTGCTAGGGTATTATGCTAAGTGAAAGAAGTCAGAATGACAAAGACAAATGCCGTATGACTTCACTCATATGTAGAATCTTAAAAAAGCAATGCATAACAAAACAAAACAGATTCATTAGTGCAGAGTACAAGCTGGTGGTTGCCAAAGAGGAGGGAGGTGGGATGGGAATAAAAAAAGAAAAATAAATGCTCTCCCCCTTTCGATACCTCATCTTGACTTCACCGGTGAAAAGGGGAGAACTCAGTTTCTTTACCAAGTGAACACATGCTCATCAATCTGACATTACTCTCACTGCGGTGTCTGGCTGAGCTAGATGCTCTCAGAAGGAACTAATACACTGAATTTGTAGTTTCCAGAATGTTGCTACTATTGTACAATAGACATGTTTTCCAGGAAGTCGAGTCTCTGGTTGAAATATATTTGGATCAATGATTGAGAAGTTAAGACCAGCTGCTAATAAAGTCGGATTACCCCTAATTGTCGGGTAACGGTTTCATCTCTTCTATGAAATTAAATTGTCTTAGCGAGCAGTAGCAGGTTTCGCCCTCCCGGTAACGTCTACGCACCTGGTGAAGTACGCGGGCCCGAGTACCACTGCTGGATGGCATCTGGGAAAGGCATTTTCCTTCTGCCTCAAAGAAAACACCAACCCATCACATAGCACACTTAACGCCAATAATGCAATTTACAGAACCATCACCTTTCAAAATCACATCAAATGTTATCCATACTAATAGATATTTAAACTGTAAAGCGTATTCTCTCTGACACCACTTAAAATGTACTTCAATTTAAAAAAAATTTTTTTTAATCCTCACCTGAGGATATTTTTTCACTTAAAATGTACTTCAATTTAAAAAAAAATTTTTTTTTTAATCCTCACCTGAGGATTTTCCCCCCCTCTGATTTTTAGAGAGAGTGGAAGGGAAGGGGAGAGACAGAGAAACAACGAAGTGAGAGAGACATCAACTGGTTGCCTCCCGCACGCCCCTGACCCAGGCCGCGCCCTTGACCGGAATCGAACCCGCAACCCTTCAGGCCGGGACGATGCTCTAACCATTGGGCAATCGGGTAGGGATCTTTTTCTTTCTTTCTTTCTTTCAAGCACTGGCATGAAGTGGAAGACACAGAACTCACGAAGAGAAGCAATCTTCAGAACACTGAGCTCTATTCGATACAGTTAGTCCGAGAGTGAAGAGAGAGAAATTACAGCCTTCAGCTGGCAGGCTTACGCTGCAGCTTTTCCCTAAAATGCAATGTGGGGGCGAGCGGTCCCTGCCAGTGGTTCTCAACCTTCCTAATGCCGCGACCCTTTAATACAGTTCCTCATGTTGTGGTGACCCCCAACCATAAAATTATTTTCGTTGCTACTTCATAACTGTAATTTTGCTACTGTTATGAATCGTAATGTAAATATCTGATATGCAGGATGTGTTTTCAGGGGTCGCGACCCACAGGTTGAGAACCGCTGCAAGCAATGGCAGCTAGACTCTGGTCATGCATTCAAGCCCAATTGACACAGGAGTCCTTTCTGGCAGGTACATTCTTTCTCCGGGTTAACACGTGGTTAAGACCCACACAGACTTAGAAAGTACCACTGGCAGGTGCAGACAGGCTCCACTCCTAACCTTCCGCGGCAGTGCCTGCCCGTAGTTTTCTGCAGGTTTTTCTAGCGGGCTCTTCACTAGGCCAGCGTTCCCCAACTCCCGAGGCTCCGGGGGTTCTCCCGAGCTCCACTCCCGTGCGGCCGGCACCGGACACGTGCCGCCGCCACCCCCTACGCATGCGCGGTGGGATGAGCTGGGGGCTGGGATGAGCTCAGAGTGCGTCTCCCAGCGACTCCCAGCGCAGCCCGCGGTCCCGGAATCTACGCGAGACCTCAGCTCCCAACGTAACGTCGGGCTTGTGGGAGTCGTGGTCCGGCCCGTCGCCCCGCCCCCAGCACTCCCGGACTCCATTTCCCGTGGACCCACGCGACTCC